CCCCAAAACCCCAAAACCCCAAAACCCCTTCAGTGTAAATCGACACTTGCTTGATCTAAATTAATAAAACTGAATATATTATTCGTAGAGAAGTCGCATAATTTATTTTATTTCATGATGGCTGATAACTTAGAGGATATAAGAGCTAAATCTTTTAGTCCATCTAGGAAATATAAGATCATAAAGAATAGAAACCATTCTATGATCAATAATCATGTCTTGATAACTAGTAAAGATATAAAGAATGGTAACTAGATTAAAACAATGCAGAGTTCTTCAAAGAAACACAGAATAATTCTCGTTTAAAAAAGATTTGAGACTGATGAAGAAAAGAATTCTAAGCAGCCTGGCTAGGTTGATGATAAGATGAATAAGAAGAATTTCAACGAATCAAATCTAAGCATATAGCCATATCAAGATGACCCAGAGCATTATTTTTCAATGGCAAGCAGGAATAGATCTACAATGAGTCATTATAAAGATAAAAAGAAGTACAGTACCTTTAAGGGTTAAATTCCTTATGTTGTTGGAAATAACTTTGATTCGTAGGAGTCTCTACCAAAAAGACAAGTTTTAGGAGATGCTGAGCTTTTCAAATAAACTTTCATTGCTAAAACAGGAAAGGATTTTTTAGGTAGAGTTGTAAACCAGAATAATTCCCCTTTAAAGATTCAAAAAAGTGTTACTGGCTCTTTAGGCTACAAAAGCAGTTAAAATCTTAAAAACTAAAAAAAGCTGAGATACCAAAGAGTCCTTTTAACAGATGATGAATTAAAGAAGTGTATCTCATAAATTCATCAAAGAATGAAGATTTACGGTGATTAGAATGAGAATATAGAAGAGCCCTAATTAAATCAGTCAATTATTAGTTTAGATGATTACAAAAATGCTCAAAAAATGAATCATGGGAATATCCTCACTTAAGATTAAAAGGAAATGCTTAAGAATAGAATCAAAGCACCCTATGGTCCAATGATTAGAGAAAAAAGTGATCAGAGAAAGCTTGAGTTATTCGAAAAGTTCTAAAATGATTGGGAAAATTTCTAAACAAATTCAACTAAATATATGTTATCCAGAAATTATACTAAGGATTCAAGATAATTGTTAACAGCAAGAGAAAGTTTAATGCAGAAGACGGAATTATTTCAAACTCAGCTATAGGAAAGATTAGCTATGAAGAGAGCGTTGTTTGATCAACAGCAATTTATTCCAAGATAAATATGGTATGACAGTCTAAGGGACTCTAATGTGTATGATAAGACTAATATTAATGTTGAACCTAATAAAGAGGACAGAACTCAATCACAGAAAGAAAGTAGGATGTACTTCTAAAAATTGCAAACAAATAAACAGCTTGGAGATCTTTTTACAAGAATTAAAACAATGACAGACTGCTAAAACCCCAAAATAAGTCCTGAGAATGTTGAGATCTTTGTAAAGCCTAACCTTAGAAACTATAGCTTATAGAGAGCAAATACAACTCAAAATATGAAAAGGATAACAAATATATAACCTAATACAACAATTATTAAAGATTGCTTCGTTTAAAAGTTAAAAGAGAGAAATAGAGAAAATTATCAAGCTCAAATGATGGGTTGCCGCAATCTTGAAGATCTCAAAATGGTTAAGGTAATCTATCTCTTAACGTTAATTCATTTACTATAGATTGAGGGATAAAGCTAATTAAGCAGAGAAATAGAAGCTTGCTATAAAACTGATGGAATGAACAGATTTTTCTGCGTCAATGCCAATAAATTAGATGAGGAGACCGGAGAGAGGGAACCTGATATCACCCAAGAGATTATTGTCGAACATTATGATAAAAAAGCCAAGTATTGAGATGATTGAATGTTTCTTATAAAATATCCAGACTTAATTTCTATAAGCCATTCTAAAAGTCAAAAACTAAAAAACTTAACTAGTACTTGATTTTACGAGTCAGAGTTTTAAGTTAATGAATTCTTGATTAATTATCTTATTAGGACTTATAATTTAAAATTAGAATTTTCTCATTTAAATCTGAATAATCATGGAATGTCCATCATGTTATGAGTATTTCGATGATATATCGAGAGTACCGAGGAACCTTAATTGTGGTCATACTTTTTGCGAAGAATGCTTGGTTAAGATCGAGGAGCAAAAGATGACTTTCTGCCCTATTTGCAGAACAGCTCTCTAGAAACCATTTAAAGCTAAAAAACTTCCCAAAAATTTCATTGCCCTAGACTATGCTGTGAAACAACAGGAAATCTTAAAGAAAAGCAATTTTTGCGCAATTCACAACAAAGAGCTAATGAGACACTACTGCATAACTTGCAAGCATTTAATTTGCATAGAATGCATTGTAGAACACAGTGGTCATGAGTTTGTCAGAAAAGAGGAGTCAAGTAAGTTAAATCAATTTCTCGTGAACTAATATTATTTTAGCTTTCATTCTTAAAGAAAACGGAGAGAACATTATCAAATCCTTGGACAATCTCAGCAATAGGACTGAAGTTTTGCTAAAAGATGGCTTTGCTCTGTGCAAGGATATGAAATAAAGGAAAATCAAGGACATGAAAATGATAGATGAGATATTTGATAGGATTGCCAAGAAGATAATGCTGAAGAAGGCACAACTTAAAAAGGAATACAATGAGGCTTTTAACCTGGAATTAGATAGAGTAAATCTCGAGCAAGAAAACTTCGAGAAACATCAAAGTTTGCTTAACTTCAATAAGGAGACTGTGCAGAAATTAGTGACTGAGCTAGACTAGTTCCAAGGCAAGAAGATCTAGGGAACAGAAATTTCAAATAAGTTGGAAAATTTCAAGAGACAGGAAGAAGAACTTAAAGACCAAACTGATAAGCTGATAGGAATAAAAGCATCCTACCCATCGTTTGATCTGAATACCTCTGAACTAGATAAAACTATAAGAAATATGGGGTCTATCTAGCACAGAACGATAATGATGACTAATAAGAAAATATGTTTCTTTGGCGATACAAATAAAGTCATGAGTTTTGACCTGCAAACTGAGAAATGGAGCATTAAAACTCTTAGTAGAAGCAATAATGAATTCCTGTACTATGCAGCAGCTGTTACTCTTCCTAATGGAGATGCTTTTATTACAGGAGGAGGATCTTCTACCACAGTTTACCAGTATTTGACTCAGAAAGAGGAACTAATATAGAAAAGAAGTATGAACCAAATGAGAAAAGAACATGCAGCTGTGATTAATGAGAATTATGTCTACGTTATGGGTGGATATGATGGAGTTTAGAACATATTCCTGAACTGCTGCGAGATATACAACACTCAAACCAATGAATGGAAGTACTTTGCACCCATGAATATAAGCAAATGCGCTTTTTCTGCCACCATCGTGAACAAGAAATACATTTACACTTTTGGAGGTTACGATGGTTAAAATAGACTAGATGCAATTGAAAGATACAGCTTGACTGAGGCATCATGGGAGTTACTCAGAGTCAAACTTAAGTTCCCACTTTCAAACTGCGCTTGCTTCTGCCCTGAAAAGAATAAAGTCGTTTTATTTGGAGGTGGCTTTAGTTCTGGCTTCTCCCCATATGTTGAATAAATTAATGTAGAGACTTAATAGTGGTCAGCTTTACCTATAATGGCTGAGGGAAGAGATTTGAGAAATAAAGTAGTTTTTAATGAGGATCACGCCTTTGCAGTTGGAGGTCTAAACAGTAAAGCAGAAAAATTTAACTTTTAGAGGAAATAATGGTACCCATTGTAAGACTACCCTATAGCAGATAATTTAGATTCTTGGGCTTGTGCACTTAGCTTTGTCCCCAAGGAGTATCCTATTGGAAGAAGTGACTCATCATCTGTAAGCTCTGGTCAAAATGTTCCATCTAGTCTAAAAGAGGAGGAAGAAGAGTTGAGAGATTTGATTGAGTAAGAGAAGGTGATTGACTAAGAGATTTTAGAGGAGTTAGAAAGGTATAAGGTTGACAGAGAACTTGGAGCAAGTATTGACTTGATTGGAGAAGAGGTAGACATAAGATTTGCAGAAGAATCAGTAGATCAGATTGGATCAGACTACGTAGGTTCATAAATCAGCAGCAGAGACACCAGCATGATATCTGCTTCAGGAGCCAGTTCCTAGGGGAATAACGGGCAGTAAAATCCAGCTGTAGCTGGAGGTAGTGTGGGTGGCTCATCTAACAGTAATACTGCTCCGAGAAATCGTATTGCCTCCAATTTTAACAGGAGATGAATATATGGATGTTAAAATAAAGTTGTAGCTAATTGATATAATTTTTAATGATAGTTGATTATAAAACTGTGCTTGGTGTTGGGGTTTTGGGGTTTTGGGGTTTTGGGG